CTATAACTCATTTTGCAACTGTTTTTTCTTTCAACAGATTCGATATAAGCTTGCACTCATAACTGTTTTTCTTTTGAAACAGTTTTTTTTTTAAATTAGTACAAGGAGATAACTATTTGTTTACAATAGTTTTAAATATAAGGGTACGAATTTTTACCCATAACTATTTTTATTGATAATAGTTTTCAAATGAATACAAGGGTAATGCTTTTTCATCCGTAACTGTTTTCAGTTACAACAGTTTTTGAGTAAGTACAAAGATGTGCATTTTTAACCGTAACTAATATTCTGCCTTTAACCTTTTTTGAAACATTCGTTTATATTTTACCCAGCTCTCCAAACAAGAGGACCTACTTGTGCTAAGCAAATTTTGAAAAAGCGGCAAAATTCAAGTATAACTGGGTCAATGGCAGGATTAAATCTCAAAGTAAAGGGATAAGTATAAACGAAAGAGAATCCAATTCTGAAAGAAGAAATTCTCTGGTTTGGGGCAGGAATCATCATACGAAGATTATCTCTCCAATTACAATCTTTCCTAACAGTGGGAATCACAAGTTCAGTTATTAAAGAAGGATAGGTGTCAGCTTTTTCTAAATTTTTAACTTGTTCTTGGAGAGATCTTCTATCATTCCCAAAAGATAAATCATTGGGTACGATTTCTTCAACTAAAGGTTCCTGAGTAGGTTCAGAAAGTTCTTTACCTTTAGAAGAGGGGGTCTTTGGGATAGAACTCCTAATACCAGAAGAAGAAGAAGCAGAACCAGATGAACCACCACGAGTGGATCCTAGGCTCAAGCTCCGAAGCCTACCTCCTCTGCCTCTCCTATGTCTTACGGGGGCATTGGGGAAGTGATCTAGAATTGGAACTTTTCTAGGGTTAGGGTTTGGAGATGACATTGTTGAAGAAGGATGAACTAAAGGGGAGAAAAAGCAAAAGTGAATAATAAATTGCTTGTTGAAGATCTATGAAGAAGAAGACAAAAGAAAGAGGGTTAAATATGTTTATAATGACAACCGTCAAACTTAGAAGTGTAATGATGGAAAGCCTATAATAAAGGCAACTATCACTTCGTGAATAGTGGGAATGAAGAAGTCTTGAAAAAAGGGTGCAAAATTGCAGAACCAATCAGAAAGTGACACGTGTGTAGAGCATTAAATAAAAGGTGACACGTATGCAAAGCATTAATTAGAAGAGACAATTGAAGCGTCAGTACTGTCATAGTATTAATTACGGCAAAAATTCCCTTTTTATGAAGATCCACTTCCCAGATATTTAATTGATAAATAAATGGAAAGTGGGGGACTATCTGTATTGGGAAAAAACTGAATTTACATTGAAGGTGATGTGGCATGACACGAGGACTGGTCAAATGGTCAAAACATGAAGATCAGTTAAGAAGCACGAGTGACAACAGATACGGAGAAAAGAAAGCTAAATAGGCACGAGAGGCAATTCGAATAATACAGGTTTCGTACCTATTTAGGTCATTTAAAGCCAAGAGATCAGAAGGCATTGAAGACATGGATATGATGACGAAAAGGAGTCCAAATTCAATATTAAATACCCAATACGTTAGAGAATTGGTATTAAATAGGAATGATTGTGTAACGTCTTATTTAATGTCATTTATTGCTCATAATTGTCACATTAAGACTAAGGTATTACTCTTTTACTTAGAATCAACTATAAAAGGAGGAGGTCTCATCATTTGTAAGGACAGAGGATATCATCAACATTACATTGGAATACAAACCTATTTACTGCTTATTTGTCATTCTCAAAAAGTCTATTATTTCTTTTTCGTCTCCTGATTATCAGTAGCCCGAATTTCTATTTGTCTTTAGCTTTGATCAAAGAATCATATTTTTGGTTAAACAATATCACAGCTGTGTGACTGAGAATAAAAGGTGACACACACACGTGTATATGGAGATAACTAAAGTACAAGAAAACAAAGTATAGTGCGGCAAAGCCCTCAAACTTCCACAACTCTGGAACCTAAGAGTTGTCGAAAACTAACCCTTTAAATCGGAGCTACAATATCTTCACTAAAGTTTACTTGTTTATATCTTTTATCTTTTTGGTGTAAATAGATTGTCATAGAAAATGAGTATCTTGTAAGTATGTTTGTCCTAGAAATCTCTTCGTTCTAGAGTTTTATGAATGTACAATTACCTTTTGCTCAAAAAAAAAGGCAACCTTTCAATCATAAAATATAGGTACCCGCCCCGTGTAGTTCTTGTTAACAGCACTATCATAGGCTCTCTTATCTCTTGAAATTAAGGTCCCAGCACTAACACTCTCTTGACTAATTCATATTATTTAGGCTGGATTTTGCCTGAAGGTGTACATTTGGATTTTTAGGAGTTGGACCATATGTCACAAAAATTAAGTTTCACAATCTAACAAAACCATACCCAAAAAGAAAAAGAGTGGAAGGTTGGACAAGAATGGTGTTGTGTCTTTTATTTCCCTTTTTACTCACCAAGCAACTATGGAAAAAAGAATTTTAACGAAGATTCAGAATGTAACCGACTTTTTGATCTTATGAATGTAAATTAGGTAGAAAATAAACCGAGAAACAAACATCAAACAGACTTCAGCTAGCAGCAAAGAGCGAGTCCAATGGCTGCTTTGGCCAAAGATGGGAGGGAGGGGAGAGTCGAGGCTCCTTTTTCAGGGCAGTCAGGTCAGAGATCCCAAACTTTCGAGCTAACACTACTACAGCTATCAATTTGTCACATAATTCACTGAAACTTCTCCGAATTCAGATTTATAAAATTTTCATCCATACTAACACTTCATGTTTCACTTGCTGACACAAACTGCACAGTAGTTGAGCGAAACTGTAATCTGTCGGCTGAAATTTCCTGTTCTCTGACCCTCACAGTGACCCTTTCCTTAAGCTATCTAGCTCTGAACATCAATATCTATACAATACCTATACCTAGTCAGAGACATAAGTAGGAGGAGATACAGTGCATTTTCTTTTAATGACGGTGTTGTTCGGGTTAACTTACACGCACTTTGACTATTCTACTGGGTACCTACTATCTCCATCAACATAGGTACCGAATAACTCTATCTACCAAGGATTAGCCAGATGAGAAAAGATCGCCTCGTATTTCTTTTTTTCTTTTTTTTGGATAAGGTAAATGACCTAGTGTTTTTCCTCTGCTGGGACTTGAGAGCTCATGATTCTCCGCGCACTTTATTGACCATTAGGCCATACCCTTACGATATATTATCAACTATAATGCATACATATATGTGCCTAGGCTAACTACACCATCAACACACATATCAACTATAAAAAGACAAGTAATATGGAACACATTTTACCAAACTAATTTACATTTAGCTATCCCAATACTTCATATCATGCAAAGTTTCATCTTTTGCTCTTAGAGACAATTTTCACTTCCACTTAGAAGTTAGAACCACACCCCCCACGCCCAACCCCGTTTTGTTCTATTTTTTTCACATATCACCGTAAAGGGTTTCCAAAGGAAAGAAATTTAGAGACCAAATGCATTAAAAGAAGAATAATTAAAATCAGAAAGCAAATATAAAGAATTAGAAAGTAGTGAAAAATAGGAAAAGAGCAAAATACTAGCAATATAAAATGCCGATAAATACCAAGCAACGCGCCGACGTGATTCTCCGACCGACCAGCGGGGAGACAATAAACGCCGTTGCTATGCTTGCTTTCAATCCTCTTTTAGTTCAAAGCCTAGCTTGGCTCCCTTTGGGTTCGTAAAAATTCACCTGATGTTTTGAGATTACCCACCCAAGTTCTTATAATTATTTTTCGACCCCAAAAAGTTCAGCGGACTTTTTTCTTACCTAAAAGGGCCACATATGCCAGTGAACTATGCGAATTAGGACAGATATGCATGTCGTTAATAGTTTGGCACATATATGCCCAATCAGTCCAATATTTGCTCATTCATGCCCTTAGTTTAACGGAACCACTATTTTGTCTTTCTTAAATAATTAATAACCGGATCCAACCAAAATCTACTAACCCGATCCGTTAGGACCCGACCCACCCTTATTTCAAAGATATTTTTTGATATATTATTTTTGTTTGATTGAGAAATTGTGTGATAATCATATTTATTTGTTTGAGTAATTTGATAATCGATTTTTTTTGTTATACATCATTTCGGGAAGTAATCCTGCTAAAAGTAGTAATTGATATGTATTTATTATTTAAATAACATAATATTCGAATTAATTTGTGCTTCTTTCAATCATTTTACCATCTATTTTTATTTTTTTCACAAGATACAAACGGATTGGTGATTTTTTTACCTATATGAAATACTCCTATAATATCCAAGAAAATAGATTTTTTCCGGTTTTTTGCCATTTTATAAGATTTTTGTAGAATTTTTTTAATTGTTTGTATTTTTGTGCACGTTTAATTTTTGTTAAAAAATCATTAAAAATGTCAAGAATACCATACATTGCATTTAGATTTTTGTTTTTATATTTTAGGATTAATTAATTCATTAATTGCTTTATTAAAAATGAAAATTACAAAAATGGCTCATTTTTACATTTTTATCGTTTAATTTTTAGATTGATGATTTTTCCCTTTTAATTTAAGATCAAGTAATTGTTATAAATACTATAGTTAGATAATTAGCTTAATTTTACAATTTGGATTAATTTAGGATTTTAATTAAAGAAAAAGAAAAAGAAAAACAAAGGAAAAAGGAATAAAAGAGGTAATTGGAAAAAAGGGGTTTTAATATGAATTTGAGTTAATTCTTTGTACCAAATTGGCCCAATTCTTCCCTAAACTAACCCAGATCCAAGCACAAATTCGAACCACGGACCCGAGAATGCCTAACACCTTCTCTCGGGTTAACAGAATTCCTTACTTAGAATTTCTGGTTCGCAGACTTTTAAAAATAAAATCGAAACTTCCTCGATTTGGGATTTAAAATAAACCGGTGACTTGGGACCCCAAAAATTAATAATCCCAAGTGGCGACTTTGAAAAAATAAATAATCTCATATCAAATAAAGTCACTTCAATTGGAAAAACTCTCTTATATCCCCCACGGGCGGGTAAAAAGAAGGTGTGACAGCTATGGCGACTCCGATGGAGACTCGAGGTTCGGCCGGTTCGGGGCCACTAGCTGCAATAGATCTAGCCCGATTAGCTTTTGGAACAAGCTTGAATACGATTCACCAATAGGGGTGAACTGATTCTTTCTGACAGGCTATCTTGGGCGAGGATTGTATTGGGGATCATTTGATTGAGGATTATATGGAGTTTGGTAAGGATGGGCATTTCTAGAAGGTGGAGCTTGGTTTTGTATATAATGTTGTGGCCGCGTGCAAGGTTGCGTGTTCATCACCGCATACCAACAAAACCAACCACCTGAACAGACATTGGCTAATTTGCTCACACCGCAACCTTGTTAGTTTTGAGACATTTAACATATAGGAAATCGCACATTGGGATGCAATGCATCTAACAGTTAAACGCTTCTACCATGTGTTTGAAAGGTTGCATGTTACATCCCGGCCTTAACTAACCTTTCAGTATGTACCTCTTTTCTTTTATTTCTGCCTCTCTTAATCACTCTTGATTTTTTTCAATTCGTTTTTGTCGCTCTATTTTGGCACTCACTTTTCTTTTTTCTTTTTTTTTTTTGTTTTCTTTTCTTTCTTTTTTTTTCAACTCAATTTTTCTTTCTTTTTTTTTAAGTTTATTTTTCACTCAGCTAATTCTATGGTTATGATCGAATCCGATGAGGATTGCCTATGTATCATGATGCCGTATGAATCAGATCTTGCGTAGTTCGGGAAAATTGAGAAAAGCTAACTCTTCTTTTTACTTTTTATAAAATTCAGACCATGAAAGCTTTAAGCAAAAGAAAAACATATTTTTTTTGAATTTTATTTTTGTTTTGCTGTTTTTGTTTTGTTTTGTTTTTTTTTGAATTTTCGAAAGAAATGCTTTAAAAGAAGAAAGGAAATGCTTTTTTTTGGATTTTTTTATTTTGATTTTGATTTTATTTATTTTTTTAAAAGAAAGACTTCTAAAAATTCCTCTTCTTTTGATTTAAACTTTGAAAATTTCAAAAGTAAAAGGAAGATATTTTTGTTTGAATTTTCATTTGTTTTCACTTTTTCTAAAGAGGAAAGAAAATATTTTTGGATTTTGGATGTTGCTTCTTAATTTTCGAAGGAGGAACTTTTCAGAAAATATTTTGGATTTCTGAGTTTATTTATTTATTTATTTTAAAAAAAATTACAAAAGTACTTCTAAAGAAAAACGAAAATATTTTTTATTGAACTTCAATTTTTTAAAATTATTTTTTTTTTGAAAGAAAGACTTTAAAACAAGGAAAAGAAATTTTTTTCTTCTTGTTTTTTCTTTTGATTTTTTTTTTTTTTGAATTTTTGGGAAAAGATTTCTTAAAAAGGTAGAAAGAATATTTTTTGGGGGGATTTTTCGAAAGAAGGATTTTTAAGGAAACATTTCGGATTTTTGAGTTTATGTTCTTTCTTTTTTTTAATTTTTTTCTTTTTTAATTTATTAAAGTACTTTCAAAGAAAGTGAAAATATTTTGGACTTGGAAAGAATAGACACAGCGGTGGCATCATCTTCTTCACAAAAAGAACAACTCCTCCATTCCAACACCCCTGAAGCTTAATCCGCCGCTTGTCACACCTCCTTTTACCTACCCCGGAAGGGCATAAGGGAGTTTTTCCAATTTAAGTGACAATCGCAACGGGATTATTTATTTACAATTCAGAGTCGTCACTTGGGATAATTTATGGTGTCCCAAGTCACCGGTTTAAAATCCCAAATCGAGGAAATTTGACTCTATATTAATGTCTGCGAACACAGAAATCCGGGAAAGGAATTATGTTAACTCGGGAGAAGGTGTTAGGCACTCCCGAGTTAGTTTCGTGGTTCTAGCACAGTCGCTTTGATCGTACTTGGCTTAATCAAATTGTTTAATTACTGATTTTAGAACCTATGTGCATTTGCCGCTTTTAATTAAGAAATTATCTTGAAATGGGTCACGCGTACGTGTACCCATTTGTTTGGCGCGTCAAAAATCATGTCACGCGAACGTGTCCACAATTAATAACGCTTTATTAATATTAAGATTGTTTTGTCCAAAGTTGCGCGAACACATACTTTGGTCTTAATTTTGGAACCCATAATTATGACACGCGAACATCATGGTGGACGGCCTAAACATGCTCCTAGAGGATTCAAAATAAAACAAACAAAATAAATGAGGGCAATATAACCACTCAAAATCTAATTTCTTCAAAATAAGATGAACAAACGAATAAACGAATGAGATCTTTAACACAAATTCAATAGCTAAAAAAACAAAGATCAACTGCTTGTTATTAAGTGATTCTTTCGTCTCAAAGCCAAATCAGAAACTGCCTCAAACAGATACCCCAACTTATCATTCTTAACCAAATTTCTTGTAAGAAACACACAAAAATGGCATCAACTTAATGATCTAAACTCGAAAGATTAATACCACCCAAGATTAGTTTTAGTCCCAATAAGTTTTCAACCTAAATTTACAAGCTCAAATAGATTAGTCTCATACCAAAACAGATTTTTTTAATCAAGCAGGCTATAAATCATCACATGACATTGAATCTACTAGCCCAATAATGCACAGATCTTAGCAAGACGGACTTGAGATATTGATCTCCTTTCAAGCTCAATTTCGACTAGATGCGTTACTGATCATAATTCGCGCAACAGTCAGATTTTAGTCATAAACATGCGACAAGCAAATCTACACTCGAATACAACTTTAAACATGGCCACTTGACTCAAGACATAACAACTTTCACCAAAATACTACTTCTAAGTTTACTCGGCTATTGGAATCAGAAAACAAATTCAGAAACTAGTATTCTCTTTCCACATAGACCAAAGAAAACAATTTTTAATCCATTTAAGCCCCCGGCTCTCATTATCAGTTAATCACACCTTCAAAATAAGAGTGAAAGAGTTGAACCTGAATAAGAGCTTTTCAATTACTTCTGTTTGGAAGCTATTACAAGCAAATCTGGCGCTGGAATTCGAACCTCCAGTAGCAAGCGAGCAAGACAACAGTAGAAATTGATTCGGTACCAACGAACTTGAACCTCACGAACAGTCTGTCGTCCTCAGCTAACCTCCATGTTTTCGGAACTCAAAATTAGAGTGGAAACTTGGAATCTTTGTGTATTTTCGAATTTGGAGTCAAATTGAAACTAAGAAGAACTGAAACTTTTTTTTTCTTCGGATCTGTGAGCGAGAGAACCGAGTGAGGAGATTAGACAGAAAAATGGTGAAACAGTGGTGGTTCGTCGGAGGTACGGCAGCGGCGAAGTGAGACGAGGTGAGGGAGCTGCTGTTGGTTTTTGGTCTTAGAGTGCAGAAGAAGATGGGTCTTTTGTTCTAATGGTCCAGTAGAAAAAGCTCAGGGGAGGGGGTCCCTTTTTTGGTGTTCTGCGGCGCTGCTTCTCCTCAGGCAGTCTTTTTATTTTTGTCTCTTTTTTAGCTCATTTAGGCGTTACGTGTTAGTTTACTTTTATAGGTTTAGGGTTTTAGGTTATATTTAGCTCAAGGATATGGGCGTAGTAATTATGGGCTTGAAAACTATGGGTTAGGTCCAAAAATTAAACTTAAACATGAGTTGTTTGAGCTCGAATTTTATTTTTTCCCAGCGAACGAAATTAAAAATACGATCTCATTTAATAATTATTCCTACTTAAGTAAAATAACTGTTAAAATAAGACTGACCGTTAAAAAAAATCTATTTTTTTGGTATTTTCAAATATCATATTAAAATAAAAATAAGGTACTATTTTTGTATTTTTAGTTTTACGAAAGGCATATAAACTAAAAGCAACTAAAAAGAATAAATATTTTTGTAATTTTCATTTTTTTTATAAAATAAAGAAAAAGAGTCAAAATTAATTGAAATATCAATATTATGCCGAAATTAAATATTTACATGTTAAAATATAAAAAATCTTGGGGAGGGTCAAAAATCACATATCTACACCGCTCCCCTACCATCCCTGAAACCAACGACTCATTTTGCTTCATCACCACTTCAGCCATGAAAACTTCACTGAAATCACTATGAAAACGATCTTAAAACTGTTCATCAACCAACCATTAAACCACACGAAAAGCAGTCCCAAAAATGCAGCATTTCTCCTTCCCAAACCAGCTTCAAAACACTCCAAAAGACCTGAGATAGCAGCTGAAAACGTTGCTCCATCACCTCTTTATGGTAGGCATTCGGTTGAGGTCTCCGTTTGAAGATTCCGATTGCGGGTCTATTCTCGTTGTAGTAGCTCCTACTCGAACTCTTAAAAGGGTTTTTTGATGTACTGAAGACAATTTATTTGCTAAAGGTTATTGTTTCTCCCTTTTCTTTATATTATCTTTGATTTGTTGTGATTTTCCATGTTTATTATGAAATCTGATGTTTAGACTTAGTAAGTACTGCTCTTCTATTCCCTTCTATTTTTTTGAGCTTTTATCTTGCATAAGTTGGTATTGTTGGTTGCAATTATGTTTGATTCGTTCTTTGGGTACTAATGTTGTAGTGGGCTTTTGGTTTGATGTTGCCATACTTCTTTAGATAGTAAGGTTTGGCCTTAGACAAGAGGGGTTGCTCTGATGGTAAGCAACCTCCACTTCCAATAAAGAGGTTGTGAGTTCGAGTCTCCCCAAAAGTAAGGTGGGAAGTTCTTGGAGGGAAGGATGCCGGGGGTCTATTTGGAAACAGCCTCTCTACCTCAGGGTAGGGGTAAGGTCTGCGTACACGCTACCCTCCCCAGACCCCACTAAGTGGGATTATACTGGGTTGTTGTTGTTGTTGTTGTTGTTGTTGTTTGGCCTTAGTTATTAGTTTTGAGCTTCTGAATGATAAAAGCTACATGTTGGTTTTATTTTATTTTTATTCTTCAAGTAAACCATCCCTAGAGTCGCCAGAGCTATCACACATCCTTTTACACACCTGAGGGTATACAGGGGAATTTTCCAATTAAAGTGACATTATTCGAAATGGGATTATTTTATTTATTTTATCAGAGTCACCACTTGGGATAATTTAATTGGTGTCTCAAGTCACCGATTTATTTATTTTCAAATCCCAAATCGAGGAAATCGACTTTATTTAAAAGTCTGCGAACCAGAAATTCTAGATAAGGAATTCTGTTAACCCGGGAGAAAGTGTTAGACATTCCCGGTTTATTTTTAAAAGTGAACCTATTTTATATCAATTAGCTAAAAATAAAAAATATTTTTGTAATTTTTTATTTTGTGACAAAATAAAGTAAAAGAGTCAAAACTTATTGAAATAGCGATATTAGGCCTAAACTAAGTATTTATATTCTAAAATATGTAAAATCTTGGGGAGGGTCAAAAATCACATGTCTACAGAGAGAAGAGACGATGAACCTCTTCGAAGAGAGTGGATGCATCATTAAGGTTGGCGACGTCATCAACCTCGGTGAAGCAGTCCCAGAAAGGATCTTCTCCACCGAGGGCTATGCTCGGATTAGGCGTTCACAGAGATTGGGCTTCCTTTATTGCTTCCTTGGAATATGATGGTAGAAGATGGGAGTGACCCATTATCATGTCCCCGAGCTCCTCGCTCGGGGCGCTCTGATTAATTTCGTCTCTTTCAGCACTTGTCCCCTATGGCATACTTGTTGAAGGAGGGGGAAAGATCTCGATCTCGGGAGACTTGAGGGCTTTGCCCAAGTCTTTTTTTCGGAGTTCCTTCGCCATGAAGCAAAGTTTTTGGTTCAAAGGGTTTGGCGGCCTCGACTGGTTTCCTAGTTCGGGGCACCAATGCCGATTCTTCACCCTTGTTCTCTTTGCCCTCTAGGAATTGGATGGCAAAATCCAACTCCACGTGGATAAGCTTCTTCCTTAACTTTCGAGAAGGGGCCCACTCCTCTTGGAGATATTCGGGCTTTGAAGCCCTCTTTCTTTTATTGTCTTTCCCCGATTTCGAAATCGGAGACTCGGTCTCTTCCCCTGAAGGGGCTAGCCTCATTTCGAAGACGTCTCTCATGCCTGCACAAAATAAGCATGAGTAAGGTAACATCACCGATAAAAAAAAATCATCAAAGAGCCTATGGAGAGAACTTACCATGATGATTGGCCTCTCATTGGCCCTTTGATAATTCGCACCATTTGCGCTCATCATATGAGGAGGTTGCAGCTAACTTTCGGACCCAGTCCTCGAGGTCGAGGACCGCATGGGGGGTCCAAGCAACAACTACAAAAAAGGCAAATGCATTACGAAACACGGAAGTGGAATACAAGAAGATATTTGAAAAAAGGAATTCGCTTATGATTGAAGTTCCATCTCTCCTGGAACGGTATTTTCTCTCTAGGGATGACGTCTGAGGTCCTTACATCTGACAAACCGGCTCATCTAGCCTCGATTTTATCCTCGTCGTTACTAGCAAAGAAGGTTTTCTTTGACCGGCATTGAAGCTCGATGACCCTCGAAACAGCTGAGGCCGATATAGCCGTATGAGATGGTTAAGGGTAAACTCTAATCCCTCGGCCTTGCTGGAGAAGTAGCGCAACATAATCATGATGCACTAAAAGGAGGGATGGATCTGTCCGAGAGTAAACTCGTACCTTTTGCAGAAGTCGAGCACTACCGGATCGAGGGGACCCAGTGTGAAAGGGTAAGTGTAAACACTCAAGAACCCCTCCTCGTGAGTAGTGATGCTTTCCTCGGGGTCGGGGATCTGTACCACGACCTCGTATCCCCAGTCGCAGTCCTTCTTCACGACCTTAAGATGCTTCCTCGATATCATATTGATATATCGAGATGCATGTTCTCGTGGCCTGGGATATTGGGAGGATTTTCGATATTGAAATCCTTCTTTATCATACAGGGGACGGGTATGATCTCGTTAATGGCCGGCGCCACCAGCTTGGCCGCCCGGGAAGAAGAAGAAGATGCCTTCTCTTTTTGGGGAACTGTCTTAGAAGTTTTGGCCATGGTTTTAAAGATAAAAAGATGTAGCAGGTAGCGGAATGTTGTGTTTGATGGAGTTTGGCTTTTTCCGGCACTTAACGGGCGGTGGAAGCAGGAGGTGAGATTAGCGAGATGAAGAGAAGAGGAGAACGGAAAATTTTCAGTGGAAGGGTAAAAGTTCTTAATACAATGAAGGAGCCCTGTATTTATAGATGAAGCGGCGACGGTTCGTCGGCGCTAGTAGCCGACCATCACTGGCACGCATTTAATGTTTTGGGGAAGTGTGTCGATGAGACGTTTTCGGTCACTTCGAGCGCCTACGTCACGGAGATGACATCATCACCTGAGACTCCGAAAATCAATGTTCAAAACATTTCTTATCATTTTATTCTAAGAAACGCAGGGACTATCTATATACGGTAGAAATCAGGTGCACCTGATTTCCCGGGCTCGAGGGGTTGCTTTGAGCCCAAGTTCGGGTAAGATCGAGTTCGAGCTTGATGGACCAAACTCGAGCTCGAATGACAGAGGTTAAGGCTCGAGGATCGAAGTGCGGGATGAGTATGGAAGTTTGAGTGTGCTTAACCCCAAGATAATGCCGTTATGGATCTGTAAAAAAATGAGTGAGATTCCTGCCACGTCCCCAAGATCACAGCGTAAATCTCGGAATAGATTTGTACTAATTCGTACTAGGTAGTTAGACAACTGTCTCAATAAGATTCTTTACTATAAATAGAAATGTACCTTATTTAGGGTTCCTCTATTATGTAAAGGGGACCCAAATCATTTGAAAAGATCATCTAATCATTAGCAAAGAATATACTCTCTTACTTTTTTGTTCATTGTTCATTAGAATTGTCCTTTAAGCTTTTTTATTATTGCTTTATTATTCTTGATCCATCTCGAGGTCACTTTGGCCCGAGGTCGATATTGTCTAGCAACACTGGTTTTATTTACTCATTTCTTTCATTTATACGTTATACTTTTTGATTATTAATTGGTATTGAACTAAATCACATATCTTTAAAATCACAAATCAAGTTTAATTGTTACTCGTATTTTCGAGTTAAACAGAGTACAAATCCATTACTTTAACAGATCGACAATTTTCAACTATGTACATATGAGTCATTCTTGTGGATAGCAAATATAATTCTCTAAAGCAACAAAAATTTGGCTTTCATAAATTAGGACACACCGCCGTAGGGTGTGTTGGAACGATATGGTTTATTCATCAACAACCAGAGGTCTATCACACTAACATCATCAACTATGTTTTACACGACATGGATCATGAATTAGTTAGATAAGAGATTTTTGAACGCTAAATACTTGAGTCAAACAAAAAAACTAGGTCCCAATTATGATTACGCTTCAATCGAGTTATTCTATTCCACTACTTAAGAAAGAAAATATCTTAAATAAAAATATTTAATAGCATGGCAATACATTTATACAAAACTTCTATGCCGAGCACACACAATGCAACCACAATCAAGTGAAATTCAATCCACGAAATAATTATTTGATCTATGGACAACATCATTATAGTAAAGGTCATAATGACAGAGGAGTCATTACCGCAAGGCATGGAGGGAGAGGTCATAGGTGTCTATACCGTAAAATTAATTTTCGACGGAATAAAAAGACATATATAATAGAATCGTAACCATAGGATACGACCCTATCGAAATGTACACATTTATCTTATACATTATGGGGATGGTTAGAATAGATATTTTTATATCCCAGAGGAACTATAATTGGAGATACCATTATTTCGATTTTTTCTTCAATGTAAAATCAATTCTCACCAATTCTTCTATTATTTATAGAAAAAATACATATTTAGGTCATTATTAATCATTTGATATAGTATTCAATAGGAATTTTTACATTTCTATGCCATATAGTAAACTATATTACCCTCCATGCTTAACCTTTAATATAATTACCTTCTATATATCTAATTACCATTTATGTACCATTTTAGAATTTTAATGGTATTAATTATTATCCTAATTTTACTCAACCGTATATTCCCACTCCCCCAAGTTTCTCTCTCCAAATCCCCACGATTTCCTCTTCAATCACCCATGATTTCCTCTTCTAAAACCAACAAAAATCTGTAACCCCTCCACCATTGACAACCATTAAAAAGCTTTGATGCTTTGAATTCGAATTTGAATTTTCAAAAGACAGTGTTTGTGTTGGATTGGATGTTGTTGCAAAGAAGTGAGAATTATCTCTACGTCTCTCTCTATCTCTCAATCCCATATTTTAGTAATATAAGAGGAAAGGAAAAGAAAGCAGCAATTCCACCATTGATAGTCATTAAAAAGCTTTGAAGCTTTGAATTCGAATTTGGGTTTTCAAAAATCATTATTTGTTTGGATTAGGTGTTGTTACAAATAATTGGGAATATGGTTTAGAGTTTATATCTCAATTTTGAGAGGTTTTGGTGAAGATTAGACTTGGTTTTGGCGGAATTTCAGATTGAAACTCGTCGAAGAAGAAAAAGAAGAAGAAGAAGAAGACATGACATACATTATATTGCAGAAATTGTAGAAAAATTGTATTCTGTTGTTTATTTTTTTTATTCATTTAACTATTGTATGAAAGTTGAACAACATTGTATAAAAATTGTATTTAAGTGGTATTATATTGTAGTTGTATATAACTTAGTAGAAATAATGTATGAAAATTGTAGATAAGTTGTATAATATATAATTAGTTCTATGAAATTATTTTTACTATATATAAATCAGATACAAAATATACAAAATACATATTGTATAAATTTTGTATAAAATTTGTATGTAAGTTTTATGTTATCGTAGTTGTATTTAACTAGGTGAAAATAATGTGTGAAAGTTGTAGAAAATTGTAGATAAATTGTATTCCTCTATAACGGGAGATGTTGACATATGAAGTAACTTTAGTGTTCCAGATGAACATTCACGAAAATAAAGATAAATTCTGTTATGAACAGTTTGTAGAAATTTTGTAGATAATTTGTAGAATTATTGAAATTCTGTATTTTCATATTAATTTTTCACATGATATGTAGTTTTATTGTAGAATAAATGTAGAAATTTTGTAGATATTGTGAAAACCCATACTGATATATATATTTACTCTGACATGTAGTTTATTTATATATAAAGTGTAGGACATTTATATACAACCAGAATTTGATATAAAATGTAAAAGCACAAACATGCAATTGTGTTCTCATTGGTGATACTCAATTCCATATTGAAATCGCGAACAATTATACATAGCGGATATGATCCTAAGTTTTTGTTTTTTCAACTTTCATACAATAGTTAAATGAATAAAAGAAAAATAAATAAACAACAAAATACAATTTTTCTACAATTTATCTATAATTTTTGTATAATTTTTGCAATATAGTATCTGAAATTCAGTTAAAACCAAGTCTAATCTTCACCAAAACCCCTCAAAATTGAGATATAAACTCCAAATCATATTCCCAATTATTTGCAACAACACCCAATCCAAACAAATAATGATTTTTGAAAATCCAAATTCAAAATTCTCTAAATCTCCCATAGCTATCCCAATTTTCATTCAGTTATAGCATAATTGAGATTTTGGACATAATTGCGTTTGTTGCATAAGAATTGTAGAAGATTTAATCGTTTTTTGATTTGTGAAATCAGAAAAAAATAATGAAACATAGTGTATCGCAAAAACAGAGTCGCTAAATTTTGAAACAAAACACCCGATCATTTTAAATTTGTGATTTGCGTTGTAAATCACGCATATGTATGTATAGTAATGGAGTTAGTTGAATCTATAAATTCGCCTCTGTGCAGAACGGAGCATTTCGTGCTCTAGTCAAAGAGTATTTCTGAAACAAGTGCCATCAAAAGAAATCGAAGTCCACCCTTAGGAAATTGATTTGGTTTCAACTATTGTTCATCCATTTTTGGAAGTTAGGTAGTTTTTGGAGAACAGGAAAGAGATTATAAAAACTCCTCCTCCATTTGCTTTTTAATGTTGAAATATTTTTAGAAAGAGAATCTCTGTATCATGAGAGTCGCGAGATTACTTAGGTTTATGGGTTTTATGATGAATGCCTACGGAAGTAAGTCCTCTTAATATTTAATTCCTCAATATTAGCGCGCATAAATAAGGAAGTCTACAACTACAATAATTTTTTATTTAATGAATTGTCTATATTTTGTAGAAATACTATTAGCATAGCGGGTAATATACAAACTATGAACATATTTGGCAATATAGTTTCTTATAGAAAATTTTACCACCTATAGAATAGGTTAGTACCCTATTTATATTCTATAAATACCCTTTTAAAATATTACATTCTATAAATACCCTTTTTAGTTTATAGCAAAAAATTTAAATTTAGTTCCATCCTAAAATTAAGGCTTAATATATGCTACAAAATATTTTTCTATCTCATTTTTTTTATTTTCTCTCACCTAATTTGCGTATATCTCCTCTCATCAGCTTTTCTCTCTCTTCTTCAATACATTTTTCCCTCTTCTCCCACAAACACACGTTCCATACACTTCAAAAACCCTCCTCCGCCATTATCGCCCCACACGCCATTCTTCTTCGCAAGCTTCACAGTTGTATTTTGGAAATCTTCTCCCCGTAGGTAATTCAACTACTTCGAAATTGCTTTTTCATTAGTTTGTTTCTATAAGTTTTTTAGCGAATTTACACAATTTTTTGATATATCTTCCATTTGTATTGTTAATCACCAGGATTCTTTGAGTTTTCTCTCTAATGTCGGATGCAACGCCACTCAGCAGACTACCCAGAGGTATACCCACCAAAATTCTCTATTTTGATGGGCCCTCTTTCTCGTTGCAACTGACTCAAGCGGAGAAAGATTTTGCAGGTTTATCAGCATCCAAAGTTGATGAAAGAAGAAGTAAATTACACAATGACAAGTTGAAAGAAGTCCAAGTTGATGAAGCTTCAAAAGAAACCAAAAATCAAGTTGGCTCAAAGAGGAAAAAACCTATGAAAGATTCAAGAAACCAAAAGGTAATTGGTATTTGTTACATGTATTCTGTTGTNAAAGAAGTAAATTACACAATGACAAGCTGAAAGAAGTCCAAGTTGATGAAGCTTCAAAAGAAACCAAAAATCAAGTTGGCTCAAAGAGGAAAAAACCTATGAAAGATTCAAGAAACCAAAAGGTAATTGGTATTTGTTACATGATTTCTGTTGTATTCATATGTATCTTCTTGTATTTTTGTACCTTTTTGTATAGTGTATTTTGTTTCTTCTATAGTATGTTTATGTATTCATATGTATTTGGTTGTTTCCAACAGTTCATTTTTAATGTAATCTTACCTGTATTCATATGTATTCATGTGTATTTAGCGTTTGCTAATGTATATTTGCGATAATTCAATTGTCCAGTTTGACCTCAAATGTATTCATATGCATTCATATGTATTCAGTTGTATTCATCTTAAATATTTTGTATTATATCTGTATGTTACAAAGTATGTTAGCATATATTTAGCCTTGTCACTGTATCTAGTCTTCTGTAAGTGTTTGTAGTTGTCTGACATGCATTTGGCTTTGTCACTGTATCATGTCTTACATGTATTCCAAAAAATCTTAATATGTATTTTTGCAATGTATTCATCTGTATTAACATGTATCTTTCAATGTTCATTGCAGGGAATTGATTTGTTTGTGAAACACCAGCCAAAATTAGCACCCCATATTAGTAGTTACACTAACACTGATATAGTATCCCAGCTAAAAGATAAGCTTACTCCCGATCAGTTCCAACAATTCGGCAATACATGCTTTGGCTCATTTCTTCAAATGAAGCGATTTGATGTTCAACATCAACTCTTCTGATGCTTCATGGCTCGACAGTTAAACGACACTCCAAACAATGTATTTGCAGTATACGTCAATGATACTGAATTACATTTCACATTAAGGGAGTTTGCGCTTGTGACTGGCCTCAAATGTGTAGGTAAAGATGAAGATTTTGAGTTTAGTGAAACTCCTCCTAACCGGCTTATTGCGACTTATTTTGGAAGTGCTAATATTGTAAAGAAGAAACACTTGAGACAATGCTTCAATGACAAGGCATGGGGCCCCGACAATGATGAGGATGTTTTGAAGATATTTTTGTTGTATTTCATCCACACCTTTATATTTTCATCTGAGAAGAATAGTGCAACTATACCGAGGCTAGATTTTGACTTAGTAGAGAGTGGGCGCTATTCTGAATACATTGGGGTATTAAAGTATTTGAGCTGTTGATAAACTCGATTAGCAAGAAGATGGATGCTTTGAAGAAGTATTACAGGATAGCTGGGATGCCCCTAGCTATGCATGTGTGGTTTTATGAGTGATGTTCTTCTGTTGATTCCAAAATTGCAGTCCGAGTCTGCGACGTGGTCCCAGAATACTCAATTAGAGAACCACCGGAAATCAGCCAACATTTTCTTATCTGACGAATGACATGTTCAAAGACACCGGAAACACGATAATATACAAATGTTTTCAATATTCTGAAGATAATTGAACACAAATACATCTATAATTTGCATATATTTGCATTCAGTTAGAGGGGAAGCCTACTGTAATATACATTGGATTCATAAGCTTTTATACATGAATACTTGCATACATATTAATACATTTTAATACATTCTAAATACAACAGAGTTAAATACACCTGAATATAGCATTATACAGTTATGCATTAATATGTTTTTTGTAAGTCATAACTTATTTTTGTTCACAGATTGTGTTCAAGGACATCACTCCTCTAGATATAGAGCTTGCTGTTTTTCAGATTCCTCAAGTGTGCGCCGATATTGAGAAAATACCTACTCCTGCGCATTCAGACAAATCGGGACAGGATACAGATGACTTTTCTCCTACACCCAATCTTCAATCTAAGAATAAACATGTTGAAAGTGTTGGTCCATCTTCATCACCGCCACATAAGAAGGTCAAGGAACAACCCAAGATTCCTACAAAAGAACCAGAATATCAGCCCAAAGTCCCTCCTATTTGTGTTTCTGACATTGGACATAAACTTGTGCATGACCATCAACTCCCAGAAGGCCAAAATGAGGAAGTATCTTCTTTGAGGAAAGACCTAAAATTATTCAAAGAATACGTGAGTATTTACCCACCAATTAATCAATAAAGTTTGATAGCTATGTGTTTTAGTATTTTTCTAACAATTTTGTACTGTTAAGGTTGTTGGAGAGTTCAAGTCTCTAAGGACATTGATCAATGATAACTT